CTGTGGCCATGTTTAATGTGAGCTTTCAGAAATATAACAATATAAACATGACAGAAGACGTAAAGTACAAACCCTGGCTTTACACAGATGATTGCACAACAATCATTTGCTGACACAAGCTCTTTATGTACCTGAATGGTTTAAGTACACCCATGACTTAAGTACATGGAGACACAATGGATGTGTGCACTTCAGATTTAGTCTCTGTTTAGACTTTATTGGAAATGTTAGCATGCTAACAAACTAAACTAAAATGGTAACTAGGTAGCTAAAAAAATCTTATGCCTGGTAAATATTAGCGTATTTGGCATTAACTGTCCTTTCCATGGACAGATGAAACCAAAGTGGAGATGTTTGAGTTCCGGATTTGGCAGGAAACCACAAAAAGCATATCAGCACAAACAACAAGTGGCGAAGGAGGGATGATTTGGGCTTGTTTTTCAGCCACAGGATCTCGCAGGCCGACCATGAACTCCTCATGAAGTCTTCTGCAGTCAAATGTGAAGCCATTTTTCTAACAGCTAAAGCTTGGCTGAAATCAAATCACAGGATACAAGCTGAAAAATAAAAGAATCATTGTGTTGCAATGGCCAAGTCAAAGTCCTCAACCTGACTGAAAGGTTGTCACGGGACCTTAAAAGAGCTGTGCATTAATGAATGTCCAAAAACCTCAATGAACTGATGCAACGCTTTAAAGAAGAGTTGACCAAAACGCCTCAACATCGATGTGAGAGACTGATGAAGTCTCAGAAAACAAGTTATTCCCTCAAAAGTTGGTCCTATGAGCTTTTGAATCATAGGGTTTACTTAGCTTAGTTTTAGAGTCCAGTTAAAATGTTTTAATCATGCGGCTGCGTAAGAATGCTGATGATTTTCATGTACAATAAAGCAGGACAGGATTTCTCACTGTGAACACTTTGATCTCGTAAACAGGTACCAGCAGTTTGGAGGTGAAGGAGAATCAGGATGACAAATGCCAGGTGGAGCGTGACCTCCTTAGAAAGTATCACCCATCAACTTTTTGCACAACTTTCCCCAGAAATGGACAAAGAGCTTTGAAGAGGAAGCAGCCGCTGGTGGACGGAAAAGACCAGCTGCTCTACCAAAGTCACTCGACCTGTAAAAGAGCAGCTTGGGGTGTGACTCAGAAGAACGCACTGGTGCACCTGAATGAGCTACGACCAGGCCTGCAGTATGATATCACATCAAAGACTGGCCCGCTGCACGCACCGGTGTTTTCTGTAGCCGTGGAAGTAAACGGCTTCCACTTCGAGGGCCGAGGACCAACTAAAAAACAGGCCAAGATGAGGGCTGCAGAGCAGGCTCTCCAGTCATTCATTCAGTTCCCAAACGCCTCACAGGCTCAAGCCACCATGGGGAACTTCACCAGCACACCTGTGGACTTCACAGCAGATAAAGTGGATATTCCCAACGGATTTTTCAAAGAGTTTGAGCCGTCGGTGCTTCGGAACTGTGATCTACTCCACTGCAACGCAGCAAAAAAGGAGGTCTTCTCCAGCATTTACAACCACAGAAGACTTGTTCGTCTAACACTGGACTTGGTGTCCTCTACAAATCCAAAAAGACGAGCAGTCACCACCTCACTGTTAGAGGACCTCAGTCCAGTAGCACTGCTCAATGAGCTGCGACCGGGGCTCAGGTACATGTGCCTGACTGAGAGAGTTCCTGGCAGGCCGATGAAGACTTTTGTTATGGTGGTCAGGTTGGAGGGGCGGGTGTTTGAAGGGTGTGCCCCCAGTAAAAGACTGGCCAAGGCCAAAGCAGCAGCAACTGCCCTACAGTCTCTTTACAACATAAGTCTGGGACCAGAGAGGACCTTCATGGGCCTGCAGGACAGCAGGGCCAAAAATCAGCTACCTCAGGTGAGTATTTTACCTCTACTCTCATTTTATAAGTGTAGTAATAAAAAAAGAGTTGTATATGGAAAGAAGTGAGGGAATAGTTTCACTCAGGTCATCTGTAATGAGTAAATAAACAAATTTGAATGAGTTGATTTTCGAAAACACGTCCTGCTTACATGGATGAAAAATTGTATTGAGCTTGGAGTCACCTACCTGAGCAGACCCAAAAAGGATCGGGGAGCACGTGGACCAGGGCCCCAGCTAAAAGTCAGTCAGTCATCAATCATAGCAACATAAATGAATCTTATCAGTGCGCCCCAGGGTGGCTGTGGCTACAATGTAGCTGCCATCACCAGTGTGAGAATGTGTGTGTGAATGGGTGGATGACTGGTTGTGTAAAGTGCTTTGGGGTCCTTAGGGACTAGTAAAGAGCTATACAAATACAGACCATTTACCATTTACCATTTAAACAGCAATAAAAATGCAAAGGGATGCAAATCGACCAGGTAAAAGTTAAAAAAAATGACTCCAATAGGCAAACATGAGCACTGTGGCTATCACAGTATACATGAATTTACATCTTTCTGTCCCATGCATGACTGCATGACTGCTCATAACCTGTTATGTAGTCTTCTCATTGGAGTTTTTATATAATATTACATATCCCATACATACAAACAGCACCTCATATGTGCCCATGATGATATCTGATTTCATTCAGTGTTAAAGGCAATAGATGTTCAGGTGTTGTCGCAAACGCAGTGGTCGCATTTTTTTTCCCAACATGTGGCATTGGCTAAGGCCCCCCTAGCCCTAACCTTTATATCACCTGTCATTCCGAATAATAAAATAATGTAAAATGTTGAAAAGACAAAGACATCACACTCTCTAAATCTGCCTTTTTTTTTTTACCTTTCCGGTGATCTTTGTTGATTAGACACAAATGCAGATAAAAGCTGAAGCAGACTGGCATGAAAATAATAACTGAACAGTAACTGAAATTTTTTTGTTTTTTTAAAGAAAACACAGGATTTTGAAGGTAAAGAGATAAACTGACAAAAACTGGGAGCAAATCAAGATGCAGCATCCAAAGCTGAAAAATGAAGCCAATGCAGATGTGTCCAAAACTGCAGCTCCTCTGGGGAATCCAAAAGGAGAGTCAATCCAATCAGATAATGAGGGCGGAAAAAGGGGGACTGTAAACAGAACACATATACAATAAACAGCAATTTCTCTGTTCTTACATTTCTGTATGCAGATTTCTCCAACCCTGATCATAATAACATAAAACCAGTATTGATCTGGTTTTGTTTACAGTTGTGCAACACTTGTTTGTGTCTTTGTTTCACAACAGTACCAAGACGTGACACGTTTCAGTGTTTCACTTTCCCCATTACAACAAGCGAGAGAAAACACGAGGGAAGTGGAAACAACAGGGTAACAAGGCACAGCTGAAAGTAATTAAGACAATAACAAAGGAAGTCAACCCAATGGAAAAGCACAAGAGACAAATGACTAACCATGGAATCATAAGGATGAAGACAACAAGAGACGACTGGGGTGGGAAGAAAAACCAAAACACGTGAAACCAAATACCAACAAACCAGCAAGGCACAAAACTCGAATCCTTAAAACATAAAGTCCTGTTAAAATCACTAAACATAACTTCTAAACTAAAATCCTGAATGAGGAAAACCACAGTGACAGAAACACACAGAGGACGTGAAAAAGGAAAACATCACATCAAAGATGGAGTCAGAGATAGGGCTGTTCGATATAACGATAT